AATATCGATATTCGGCAGACATAAAATGATATCGGTAATACCGAATTATAAATGGTATATACCGATGGCGAAACAGTATATACTGACGGCGAGTCGTCTTCCTCTTCCTCTTCTCTTCACCACCAGCCACCACCGGAGTGGAGAGGTACACCGTCGTTGCTTGAAGCCTCACCGTAAAGCTTTAGCCGACGCTAAGTAATCGCCGAGTTTGAGGGTAGAGAAGTCACATATAGACGACTAACGAGGACGATTGGCGGTACGAACGAGTCTGACTGACGAGGACGACTGACGGGCGACAACACATGCGATTTCGTGCGGGGATGGTTCTTCCCAATTTCGGCTCGCTCGATTATGGCTGGCGGTGGATGGTGATTTTAAGGGGTTATGGGTGAGTGATGATATTGATTTGTGATAGTGGATTAGTGGTTGAATGATGAAAAGGCAGTATTTGGGTGAATGGTGATATTGTGATATTGTAAATTGTCATAGTGGATTAGTGAAATTCCCCTTCATTTTGATTCGACTGAAAATGCATCATTTGATTTTTCAGTGGCTCATTTCTGAAGTTTCGGTGTACCAGTTGATAGAAACCTGCATTTCTATTTATTTAGCATTTGGACTTATTTGTTAGTTTATGATTGTTTACGAGTTTATGGGTATTTGGGGGATATGATTGGGGTTTAATAAGTTGGGGTAGTCATCAGTAATTAGAAATTTTTATTTAAACTATTTTTCTACGTTGAATGAGAATTAGCAAAGAGATTAAAACCCTAATGATATTCTAATCCCTCTCTCTCTCTCTCTTCCTCCCTTGGCCGACCCCTTCCTTCCTCTCCCTACAGGCTGCACAGCAGCCTTCTCCCTTCCTTCCTCTACTTTCCACTTCCTTCTCCCTTTCCCCATACCACCCACGCAGCACAAGAAGCCAAACCTAAGGCTTCCCCTCCATTTTTCTAACTATTTTCCATTGTTAGATAGAACCCAGAGAACGAGTTTCTATCATCTAGTATCAGAGCCCGATTCCGACTATTGAGTTTGTCGCAACTCTACACCGGGACGGGAAGCAGAACCATTGCGATCACCAAGTCTCCTACAGAGAAGTCCGATGCTGGATCCAAGGCGGCGATGGCCACAACCAGGGTCTTCCTCGCCACTGGCGGACAATCGGCCCGAAGGGGTCGTGGTGGACGAGATGGAGAATGACGATCTCCAAGCCTCGATGCGCACCATCATGGCGATGCAGTTGAGGACCGACTCCAGCATGGAGGAGGTGCGGGCTGAGGTTGAAGAGGCCAGGCGTGAACGTAACGTGATCATGCAACTCCTCACCAGCATGCAGGAGGAGCAGAGGCGGCTGGTGGCGGCATTGGGGCTCGGCGGTGGAGATCGAGGCGAGGTAGAGACGACTTGGACGTGCCCAGCTGCTACGGCAGGCCCTCGCGCGGGCGCTGGAGGCGAAAGTGTTGCGGCTGTCTCGGCGGCTAGCGGGGCGGCGACGGGCCCAGGAAGAGGAGCGGCCGCGGCCATCGTAGGGAAGGTGACGATCGAGCGAGTGGGCCTCGATACTGAGGGGCCTCGTAATGGCCCGGGCTACTGTCGACTCCGACGGCTGAGGAGATCGCGCCCATACGTGGTAAGGGGAAGATCTCGGGCTACGACAACGTGGTCCAGAACCCGTGTTTCAACCTAATGGGCCCACACCCCATGGAGCGCGAGATGGGCCGAGTGCAGCGGCCGGGGGCGGGTTCGATCGGCCAGGCGGGGCGGATCGGTCATGGTAAACCAGCCGGGCCCAAATGGCCGAACCGGACCGGGCTGGGTCGAATGCGGTCGGGCCGGGACTGGATGGACCAAAACCGGTCAAACTAGAGACGGGTGGACCGCTGATGGGCGGACCGGGGTGGGGTGGACCGAGGAGGGTCGACCCGAAGCTGGGTGGACCGACAGCGGCCGAACCGGGGCGAGGTGGACCGCTAATTGCCGAACCGGTGTGGGTTGAACCGGAAGCGAACCAAATCGGTTTGGGTTAACTCCGGAGGGCCGACCAGTAGCCGAATGGCGAGCCCAGTTGGAGGGCTCCAGTTCAAACGGACCTCCGATCGCAGCAGCAGCAGGAGATTTCGGGGGTCAACCGGGGAGGTACGGGGACTACTCAGGCGAGGACGGGCATGGCTGGGGTTCATGAGGCGACGCACGTGGACCTCCTAGGTATCACAGAGGTTACCCCAGTGCTGACAGGTATGGTGGGTATGATCGATATGATGATGAGTATGGGTTGGTGTTTCGGGCCAAGCCCCGACCATTGAGTTTCCAAAATTCTATGGCCAGGAGGACGTCGGTTTATGGTTATATGCAGCTGACAGGTGGTTCAAGAATCACCCGACCCGGGAGGAAAGGAAGGCGCAACTGGCGTCCTTCTATCTGGAGGGAGACGCCCTGCACTGGTGGGAGTGGTTAGAGAGATCCTATGCTGCCGCGCAGACGCTGATTACTTGGCCGATATTTCATGAGGAGCTTCGCTACCAATTCGTCAAATCAGAGGGCTGGGCGCCGGAGCAGCTGGCCAAGCTCAGACAGACCGGTTCGCAACTGATTACCGGGTAGAGTTCCTCAAACTGGGAATCTAGTGTAAGGGATTTCCAGAAGAGACCCTGGTGGGAATGTGCATGGCAGGTCTAAAACCAGATATTGCTGCAATAGTCAAGATTTTTGAGCCAGATACCTTGCGAGCTGTTTTTCGTCTTGCAGGACATAAGGAGGAGGAGCTGGCAAGCTGGAGGAACGTCATAGGGCATTACCCCAAGTCTGTAGGAGGAGGCCACGCCGGTGTAGGGAGTAGCGGGAGTGGGGGCACAACTATTACTGCTAGCGGCGGGTCTAGCGCGGCACCAGGAGCAGTGGCCTCGGCAGCACGGCTTGGGCCGAGGTCTCCGCCTAAGGTATTCGTCCGGCTCAGCTCCGCGGAGATAGAGCAGAAGAAAAGGGAAGGCAAGTGCTTCAACTGTGATGAGCGGTTCACCATTGGGCATAAGTGCGCGAAGCCGGACTTAATGATGCTGGTGGGAAGATGGGAGGATGAGGCTGAGGAAGATGCGGCGGAAGGCAGGGGCGAAGATCAGGTGGAGGACTGGCAACTAGGGTTGTACATGGGTCGGTTGGTCCGGGTTTAGGCATTTTAATCACCCGGCTCATGCACTACGGTTTGGGAAATATTAAACCCAAACTCACCCAAAAAAATCTAAACCCTACGGTTTGTTTCTAATTGGGTTGGGTCGGGTTGGCGATATTTTTAAGTAAAAACCCAACCCAACACAAAATATGTAATTATTCTACATCATAAAAATATTTTATAATAAATTAAAAATTCAAACAAATAAACTGAGGTGAAAGGTATCAAAATTCACAAATATTGTTTGAATTTTAATAAAACTTGATTTACTTCAACTTATGTCTAGTTTTTTTCACGACATTTGTTGAAATAGGCTAAAAAGGTTACAAATGAACGCATCCATTATATGATATTCTTTTAAAATTGTACACAAGAAAGAAAAAATTACGTGAATCATTGCTATATTAAATATATGTCTAAACTTTAAGTCGAAGAATGCATTAGATTAGTGAGACTTTAAGAGAAAAACATGGCGAAATATCTTAATTTTCTCATAAGTATGACTATATATGACATAAATATTTTTTTGGATACGAATTCATACCAATAATTGGAACACGGGTTGGGTCGGGTTCTACGGGTTATGTAATCCAAAATCCAAACCCAACCCAAAAGAAGCGGGTTGTACAAAAGAAAACCCTCACCCAATCCAAAACCTTCGATTTAGCGATAAATACGGGTGGGTTGGATCGGGTTGGACGGGTGGGTCGGTTTGCGGGTGTGTTTGTTCACCCCTACTGGCAACCTTGAGGACAAGGTTGATTCAAAGAAGGCAGGGATGATAGAAACCTGCATTTCTATTTATTTAGCATTTGGACTTATTTGTTAGTTTATGATTGTTTACGAGTTTATGGGTATTTGGGGGATTTGATTGGGGGTTTAATAAGTAGGGGTAGTCATCGGTAATTAGGAATTTTTATTTAAACTATTTTTCTACGTTGAATGAGGATTAGTAAAGAGATTAAACCCTAATAATATTCTAATCCCTCTCTCTTCCTCCCTTGGCCGACCCCTTCCTTCCTCTCCCTACAGGCTGCGCAATAGCCTTCTCCCTTCCTTCCTCTACTTTCCACTTCCTTCTCCCTTTCCCCATACCACCCACGCAGCACCAGAAATCAAACCTAAGGCTTCCCCTCCATTCTTCTAACCATTTTCCATTGTTAGATAGAACCCCGAGAACGGGTTTCTATCACCAGTTTTATACTAGTTATCGATTATTCGGTATTCGGGTATACCGACTCAAAACAGGTATCGGTATTCTGTGGTTACAATTTCACTTTCCGGTATACCTAATACTAGGTAATTGGTAACCGGTATACCAGATACCGACCGATTACCACCCCTAGTTCTGGAACAGAGTAGTACTGGTTAATTTGGTTGGTGAACATTTATTGATATTTTATTAATATATTTATTGACGTGTCATGCTTATGGATCAAAGCAACGAATTTTTGTACTAAAGTGGACGGATTGACCTTTTGTTATTCACTCAAACTTATTTTACTGAAACGTGCAAAATTACAGGTTTGTGACCGTTTTGTACAAAATGAATAGTTTTGTGACCATTTATGATAATTACCTGCTTTTTGGGAAGTATATTCGTTAACAAGTACGTTGTCTTATAGGTTCTCGAACTAGTGTATACTATCATGTAAGTTTTCTATGTGAAATGGTTCAATCAAAATATAATAATTAATTCTTAAAAAAACAATACCTATATAATAATTAATTTATAGTGATTTTTAACAAAATATATAGGAAAAGTAAGAAACCGTTAACATGTTTCGGCTTTTTATATATATATTTATAAATCCCTATCTGAAATTCAATTCTTCGATTCCCTCCCCTTCTTTAACGCACAATGGTGGGATTCAAATTAAGAGTAGCAAGCTTAGCTGAAAGCGAGAAGCATGTCTACTAGGACTGCTCATAGGCTCGTAGAATCTAGAGAAGGAGCCCTATTGTAGACGACTTTGCTTTTGGGGAATATTCCTCTTTCTCGGAGTGAATTCAGTGTGTCTTTCAGAATTGTAAAATCATTAGAAACCGAATAGCAAATTGCATAGGTCGCTCTTTTTATGACGCTCGTGACACTACCTCGCATTGCGCATAACAGACTATCACTCGGTCGCCTACAAGATAAAATAGCCACTTTGTTTACTCTTGGCTTGTGCAAAACCGGAGTTATCCGAATCTCACTATTTCGTGTATCTTATCTCTTAGTTGTATGTTTAGAGGGTCTAAGGAGCCCTCTATTTATAAGAAGAAAAAATACAGAATGTTCTCTTTTCGCGGGGAATAATGATACGAGCATGAAACCGGTGCGCGTAGTTATAAAGTTGCACAACCCAGACAAGGTTAAGTTTAAGGATAAAACGAAATTGAAATGCAATCTCACACCTGAGAGAAGGCTCTATAGATATAGGGTAGAAGCTTGACCACAATCAAGGGGAATTGAAAGCTTTTGTTGAGTTTTACATGCTCTAACCATATAGTTGCTTAATTAGTGAATTCATAAGTAGCTAGTGATACCTTTAGTTGCTTGCCGTAATTGCCACATTGAAAGAATATGATGATCTTCCTCTCCCAATCCAGGTATGCAGAAGCCAAAGCATTGAGAGATCCTTGAAACAAAGGAACTGAAAACTCGATCCCTCGTAATTCAACAACAATACCTTCACATCCTGCCTCTGGTAGTCCTTCCACCGTAATCAAGAAACTCGTGTTCTTGACGCGCTTGATCGGGCTCTGTTGTGATCATCCTCTGTGCCAAGTTGTGAATCCTTGCATCTAAGGCTCGGTCTCTTCCAGTTGGAACGCCCTACTGTCGATTTTCCTCAGGAATCATATGGAGTCTTGTTGCAGGCTGCAAAAGAGCATCCACCCGCTTATTGATCTGGTCGAATTAAACTTGGAAGGTTGCGTTCAATTGCTCCATGATAGTATGAAACAGTTCTGAAGCATTGATCTGCTGCTCCGCCATTGTTTCCTACGACAAAGAATCCTACTATGTAACACGATTTTCTATGGGGTCTTTGAATCTCGTATGAGAAGGAATAGGCCATCTTGCCTTCGTCCTCACCATTGTGTTGAACCGAAGCTCTCATACCACTTGATATGAGCACGAAACTGGTGCGCAGCCAAGACAGGGTTATGTTTAGGGATAAAACAAAATTGAAGTGCAATTTCACACATGGGAGAAGGCTCCGCTTCCACGGTCGTGGAATTGAAGTCTGTGGCCATGGAACACTGTTGTTCCAATCCCCTGTCGTGGAATTGACTCCTGTGGCCATGGATTTTGAAGTGGTCTGCCCTTCTCGATCCCGGGGGCCTCCTTCTTCTAGGTTCGAGGCGAGTGCTTTTGGGTCGCTTTAGAGGATTGCATCAAATAAGTAATGTTTAATTAGTTATATAATTAACTCATAATTATAACATATTCTGCTAAGATAATTAATTGAGACTATCTCTCTAATATTTATTTTATTAATTATCCTTCTTATTTTCCTATCTAGAAAGGATATTGGAAAATTAATTCAAAATTTCATTTATAGCTTTGAAAGCTATTCATCCCAACAATCCCTCACTTGAATAGTTTTGAAACTATCTCTGTGCATCAACACTCATATAAGATGGGGCATAAACTAAGGTATCTTTCGGGTTGAACCTTAGCACAATGGTTACACTTATGATTCAACAAGAGTGACTCTTAGTCTTGAACTCTTTTTCAGACAATGTAGCACACCGAATCTTTTCATTGAGTACTATTCTCTAACAGCCCGTGCATTTATGGCCCTGCACGTTATCTCAAATTAATGCACGCTTTTAGCAATTTGGTGCCTCGCCAAACTCCATAAAAAGCATCCCCACTTCCACAACCTCATAGGTGAGTCTATTAGAAGTAATGCCAAAGCAATGTACTTTATTCTACATGGAGTATAGATCTCATTAAGAGTTACCATTACCTCAACCTCTATAAGCTTCAGAAATTCATGCTTCAGTATGAATGATCTTTCTATTATACACAACTGGTTATTACCCTTTGAACCCATTTCTTGGGATGTCCAGTCTATTGGGCCATGTTACCATCATGTGTACGGTTCTATACGGATAAGTCCCATGCCCTTAGCGATATTTGGACTTTCTCTCTCTAGCTAATCATTTCATTAAATGATCACCTACATTCTCTTTTAATCTTAAGTGATCCACATGGCTTGGTCTAACTACACATTCCAATTGGTAACCAAGCATAACCGACGATCGAATGTAGCATAGGGTAAGAAAGCAATAAAAATTATCGAACCGCGGGTCTCCTAGGTATACCTTACTTCGGCTTAAGGTTTCGTTATCTTGCTAACCTAGAATAGTGATTAAGCCAACTAACCTAAATACACTAGCCTAGTTAATTACAAGTTTGGAGCTCTCTTAGGTTTGAATAACCCTAATTCCATCATTTGGATCGATGTTGAGTACTATCCTAGCTTGATTGACTCGCTACCCTACCGTTAGGGGATAGACTTAATTGGGATTGACCCAGAATGACAAAGTGATGGATGGTGGGGAGACTTGATCTAGGGCACTCTAGGTTCTCACTTCGTCACTTTCTCTCTCTAAACCTCTATTTTCAACTCAAGAATCCGAAGCCAACTCGATTCCCGTGTTCGGCTTGTAAGATCTCGAGTAGGGCATACCAGCTCTAAATACCCAGTCGGGTATTAGGGGACATACCGGGTTTTTAGACAAAACGGCGCGCAACACAAGGGGAAATACTCGATCTCAGGGTGAAATACTTGATCAGGTATTTGAGGTCCACCACTGGGGGGCCTCCTTGATGGTTTACTTGGTCTCCTCTCAATATACCCTGTTGGGTATTTGGGTGGTCTGACTTGATATTTTGCCTTCTAGCTCCACTTTTTGCCAACTCTCCGCTTTTGACCCAAAACTCGCTCTCGAGCGTCCATTTTTGCTCAAGGTCCTGAAATACAACATAAAAGTACAACTTAGCGTGAAATCAACTTAAAACACGAGAATCGATCTTCAAACTGTGCAAGAATGGTGGGCAAAACATGTGCAAATATCGGGTTATCAAATTCCCCCACACTTAACTGTTTGCTTGTCTCCAAGCAAACCTAACTCAAACCAATGCAACTCTCCAGACCTAAACAGCAACATGCAACCCCGATCATTGATAAAGGACGTCCTAATTCATTTAGCAGCTTACGAGGTCAACCAATGCACAAGCCACCTCCTAGTTTCTTAAGCGAGAACTCTAGCCCCGAATCGGGATCATGCCAAGTAGTGGCCTTACGACAAATGATCCGTGGATAAGCGACTCTCAAAAATAGAAAATCATGGACTCAAATTTTTAGGTACTCTTTTTTTTAAGATGGTTGTAACACCCCCCCCCCCCCTTCCCCCGCAATTTTTCTTTCATTAATTTTCTTGTTTGTTTATCTTTTCTTTGTTTGCAAGGGTTCCAACCTATCATTTCCTGAAAATGGGGCTACCACCTAGCAAAGGTTTCGAGGGATCTCGGCTCTTACCGACCATGCCGGGAGCAGATGTCTCAAGCAAGTCTCATGCGGGGGAAAGGTGAGTAAGGGAGCTGGGGGTAATATGTGGAAATTGGGAACGGATTCCCCTCTCCCCTTACACACACTTTCACTGATTGCCACACGGGGGACATTTGGAGACATTATTTTGAAAGCACAATTTAGAGTGCCTTTTTTCAAAACATGATACAGGAGTCCATGATAGGTAGAGAGTCATCAATACCACACGATTCCAATGTCCTAAGATCACTAATTTTCAAAATCAACCAATACAATATGAAGAAGAAAGGAAACATATTAATGCATCAACATCCTCCATAGCACTACAACTACCTCACTAGGTTGCATAGTACTATAAAGACTGTCAATTCAAAGCATACCGAGTAGGCAATTGCACGAAACACGTACTTGGAGCCCTCAAATCAAAGATTTGGACAGTGGACTAGACTCCAAGCACATAAACACATATAAACAGTCAAATAGAAACACCCTGACACTTAAGATCGACATTGCCCTCAATGGAGAAGACCGAATAAATGGACTGCAATAGGACTGAAAAGTGGACCAGTCATCAAGGAAGACTAGCAGTGGGACCTGTCGTGGCAAGAACAAGGGCTAAAACAAAACAGCCACTCGAACACAAAATCCTTATGAAGAATTGTCAGCACAATGACACAATATCCAAAAAAAAAAAACCAAACACAAATAATCCAGTCAGCACTCCTCCCAAAACAACACATACACTAAACAAACACTAGAACAAACAGAGAGAGGGAGCCAGCGGGTACAACCTACTCGATGTGGTCCATGATGTCATCAGTATCCCCTTGTGGAGGAGGCGGTAGAGGTGGTGGGGAGGCCTCCCACGGGGTAGTCTAGTGGTGCTCTTAGTGGATTGACTGGAGGAGGTGCTCCTGGTACTCCATCAGCTGGCAGCTGCGGCCACGCTCCCGCTCGATATGAGACTTGAGCACGCCCTGTTCGGACTCAAGGCGACCCATGCAGGAGTCAAGCTGAGTTAGGAGCTGATGTTTCTAGAGATGGAGTTGTTGGAACTAGTCGATGAAGAACTCCATCGACGGAACAGAAGGACCGGAGAGGACTCGCCTCACTCAGGTCTTTGTCGTGGAGGAAGATCCCTTGGCGGGGACAGCCGAGGGTCCATCTCATTGGCAACCATAGCTTTACCATCATAATCATCATCATTCTCCTCTGCGTCCTTGTCTTCCTCATTATAGTCTTCATCATCCTCATCAGCATCAGGGGGAAGGGAGAGACCGTCGACCCACTCCCTACCATCAGCAACATTAAACAAAAGGGCGCTACGAAGGACGTCCCTACCGACGGGGTGCGAGTCGTGGCAGACAGTGGTGTCTATCAGGCCTCGTAGATCCAGTGCAAAGTGGCATGACAAAATAGTTATCAGGGAAACGCAGAAGAGGTGGGTGGCCTTCTTGTGGCACTTAAGAAATGTCTGCGCCAGAAGAGAACCCAGGTGAAGCTTGTGGCCCCCATCCCTCATGTTGTACATGAGATAGAGCACACGCTTTGTGAGCTTGTGTGAATCTGTGGCGTTAGGGATGACCCACCCACCATATGCTATCACCGACCCAACTCACCCACTACGATACATATGGGTGGGTGTGGGTCACTTTTTCGTCACCCACCATAACAATGGTTGGGTGGATTTGGCCCAAAACCCCACCTAATTCACCTATTGCCCATCCCTAATAATTCGTGAGCAAAATAGTGGGATTTTTCCAACAATAGCACCTTTAAAAAAAATTACAAAACTAGCACCCATATGAAAAAATTGACAGAAATAGCACCATTTTTAATGGAACGCACCATAGGGGTGCGTTCCAGCTTATAAAATGCACTAGGGCGGTGCGATTTAATGCTGCTGCGGAACGGTCTTCAAGACCGTTGGATGGAGGGGCGATCGGGCGGCTGAACGCTTGCCAGCGGAGCGATCCGCGCCAAGGATATCAGATCGCACGCCCGAGATGCGGTCAACCCTAGGGAAGCGCAAAACGCATCGGGAGGGTGCGATTTAGCTTAGGGCAAAATTACCCGACCGCCCCTGGAGGGTGCGGTCTGATGGGTATAAATACCCACCCCTCCCCCTCTCATTTCTTCACACCACAACCCATTCTTCCTTCTCTCTCTACAATTTATCTCTCTAAACCCTCCCCTCCCAAAAGCCTAGGAAATAGTGGTCTGTTGGTTGCGGCTAAGTCCGATCTGCCATCAGAAAACATTTCTTAGGTTTTTTCCTCAAAACCCGCCGAGCCGAAGCTCTATCTGAATTGCGCCGAAAAAATGGCCGATTGGTGGCAAGGAGAAGGAGTTTATGTTGATGAATTTCAAGCGGTACGTACTCATTATTCTGATTTAATTTTTGTTGTTGTTATAAGCTTTTTAATTAATCTATGTACTAACCTCGTTGCTATTTTCTCGTAGGTTGGGGAGGACGTGGATATATACAACCAACGGTATTATCTCGAGCAAGGACCGTTGGATCCAAGCGACTTGTACGACCAACCCAACCATCGGTCAATGGATGTTTGGAATGCTCACCCGGTATATACTATTCTTTACCATTTGTCCTTCTTTTATTTTGTTAATGTATTTATTGGAATATAAAATAAATTTATGTTGAATTTTTAATCGTGCTGGTTGTTTTCAATAATTTAATCGAATACATAACGCCACTTACTTCGACTCTTTATAAAGAGATGCACGTATAAGGAAATGGGGTTTTAAGCGATTATCATATCCTCCCATTCCCTGGGAAAATCGGGTATTTAGAGATCCTCGGATCCCCCCCTTTTTCCGTCAAAAAGACTGTGTTTCTAAGAAGATGTATACCTCTTCTAATAGTCTAACGAGTGTTGCTTTGTATTCGATTAAATTATTTAAAATAACCAACACTATTAAATTATTTACCAAACAACCAATACGATTTATTTTGATGTGTACAAAATGAATTTTATTAATTTCAAACATTAGAATATGTATGTTTCTCTTTAAATTATTATTCATTAACAATGTAATTTATTTTAGTTAATTTAGTATGTTTGTTTTATGATAATATGTATGTATCTCTTTAAATTATTATTCATTTAGAATGTTATTATGTTAATTAATTTAGGATGTTTGTTTTATGATAATATGTATGTATCTCTTTAAATTATTATTAATTTAGAATGCTATTATGTTAATTATATGAAATGTCTTTTTATGATAATAAAATTCTTCTTGAAGTTAAATAATTTAATTTAATTAATTTAGTTATAAGGAATAAACCCTTACTAATATATAATAATTAACGTGTAAATTTTCCCTAGGAGGCACAAACAACAATCCGCTACAGGGGTACGACCAATGTGCTCCCATTCCACCCAGCTATCTTGCCCTTTCTCAAAAGGGCACGGTTGGACCCGATTAGGCATTTTAACGACATCAAAGTTTATCGCCAACTCATCACCGCATTAGTTGAGAGATGGAGAAAGGAGACCCATTGTTTCAACTTTAGAGAAGGAGAGGCCACCATCACGCTAAAGGATGTCGCCATCCTAACCCATCTGCCCATCGACGGCAAACCGGTGTGCGTGAGTGATCATCCCCCGAGGATTGTGACGGTATGCCCGGTTGGGTTCATTTCATCTACAGTGCTTTGGGAGTCAAAGTACCAGTGAAGGGGTGCGTTGATGCGACCGATCGCATGGCACCAATGAGGAAACACCAAGTCTCAATTACTTGGTTGACGAAGTATTTTAGAGACCATTACGAGAGTCATCTCCTAACCGAGGAAAGTCCAGAGGATGAGAAGGAGAGATATGCTCGCTATATAATTCACCTCCATGATGGATACCAGATGTTTGACCGTGTCCAGAATGACCTCCAACGCCAACCAATGTAGTCAAAATCCCGATTTTAATCTTAAAATCTTACGATTTTACGATCTTACCTATGGGTTCCGATCCTGATTTTACTGTAAAATCTTTGAACTTTAAAATCCCATAAAATCCCGATTTAAAACTCTAAAATCCATAAAATCTATGATTTCTATGATTTTGTACGCTTTCAAGGTTCATATCAATTAGATCAAAATTAGGCCGGTTAAGTTGGGTTATGCCCATGAACCGAGTCAAATTTACTTTCCCCAACCCAACATAATGAACAACACAACCCCAACCTAATAGTTAACCCTCAATTTATTTTCATTCTCTTCCTCGTATCTTCCTCTTTCGCATGTCGGCGCCCAACTCCTTCCATCAACGATATCTTCCACCCTCCCAATTAGCTTGTAGTTTGTTCCCGCCACCCTCACAATAATCCAAATCTCCATTACATTGCAAGCTTTTGTTCATCTCCCAATCCTTCAGCACCACTAACCCGACCTTTTATCAATTAAGAAGGGAATACATCAATCAATGAGTTATCTTTTCCAGATGATGGTAATCAAGGAAATATGGTTAATGGTGAAAGTACTTCAAGTGATCATAAGAGTAATGATATTAGTCCTTAAACAAATAAAAACGATAAGAGTGAGGGTGAGGTTGAGGATGATGACGATGATGTGTAAGTGATGTTAATGTTGATCGTAACGATCTTATGTGATTTTCTACTCTTAACAATTAATTAACAGTGATATCTATAATGTTTCAGGTTTCTTATTTGTGCGTTTCTATTATGTACAAGAAAAAATATATAAATTAGTTGTGTTTGTTTAGCAAACAAACTTATCTTGGGAAGTAATTATGCTTTATGTGGTTGATTGTTATTCAAGATATGCAATTTTTTTACGATCTAGTGTTTTAAGTATTTATTTTAATATGAATCTTAAAATCTTACGATTTTACGATTTTAATATACGATTTCGATTCTACCTCAGTTTTTTATTTTACTTAAAATCTAGATTTTGACTGCATTGACGCCAACGACCGGCTCGGTGTAAACGAACATCTCGGCTTTGGAAAGATTGTTGGACCTTATGAATTCGAGCATGGCGTCTACCTCATCCTGAGTGGTTATGTGATATTCCTCATGTCACAATGACCCACTTTCTCTGTTTGGATATCGGTACACCGTACACCATACGATCAACTCTTCTCGTGTCATCCATGCAAGTAACGTTAGTGCACATTTGATGGAGGTCTTCAAGCAGTGGTCTGGTAGCGACATTTATCTTCTGAAAATTGCCACCTACGTAGGTGACCCCCTTTCCGGTCTCTTCCGTGTAACTATTCCACCGTAAGCCAAGCGTGAACTTTTGGAATGCCATCTGCGATAAAACCGTAGTTCAGTTAATATCATAAAAATAAAAAATAATAATAAAAAGTAATACTAAATAAACTTACGAGTTAACGTTAATCGCAAAACTACTAAAGAAATATAGAGCTACAACAGAAAATTTAAAAGGGAGAAGGAGAGGTGTGAAGAGAAGTGGTTGTCCGGGAGGCCTTTTATAGGCAAAATCACTGATGAAAACCGCACCTTAGAGGTGCGGTTTTCGTCTACCATGCAGGCCCATGCAGACCCACGTCTGTTACGTCTGCATGGTATGTCGGAAATTGATTGACCAAAACCGCACCTTCAAGGTGCGGTTTGTATGGCAAAATCGCACCATGAGGGTGCGGTTTTTTTTGGGAGAAACAAACCGCACCTTCATGATGCGGTTTTAATAGGTCAGGCCAAAACCGCACCTCGGCCAAGCGGTTTCTGTAGGTCAGACCTAAAACCGCTTGGCCAAAATGCGGTTTTGGTCCAGAAATAGGGAACGCACCTTAGAGGTGCGGTCTATTAAAAAGGGTGCTATTATTGTAATTTTTTTCGGATGGGTGCTATTTTTACAAATTTTTTTTAAAGGTGCTATTTCTGAAAAAATCCCAAAATAATCGTAAAAAGGTTGTCCGCTTGTTCTACCAATAGATATCGCAGAATCAAACTCTGCAATTAGTATACGACAATGGGTGATCATCAATAGACTGAATCTGGTAAAAAGCTACCTAGGAATGGGTTTGTAGATAAAATTTGGTAATGGTCGACATGATTTGAGCTTCTGAGGTCCATAATGAGGAAATGACACTGTTGGGATTTTTCGTGGTGTGAATGGAAATGAAAGGGGAAAGATCCAAGAAAATCTTTTGAAGTACCATGTTGATAAGATGTGGGAAGGTATGGCCGCGAATACGATCGATTTGATGTAATATGTTGGTAAACGGTAATGTTGGTTTATGTAACCAACCGGATCAAACCGAGTTGAACCAAATCGAACCGAACCGATGTGGCGGTTGGAATAACCAAACTGGTCCAACTATCATGGGCTGAACCGATGCACTGGTTCATTATTTTTAAAACGAACCAATGTGTTTATTGGGGTGTAACCACCCATATGAAGAGTTGCCTCCCTTCTTACGCACCCCTTCATTCTCTATAAATAACACCATACCTCCTCTAGTTTTTACTACGAGAAATACACGTTTTTCCGGTACCAAAACTCTGCTAAAATCCAAAACTAGTTTTTATGCATTCTTTTTCAAAGAGAAAATAGAGTCAAGTGTGGTTCTTGCCGGTTCGCTGTGTTTGATGGTTTCCGGGGTTTGAGGTACCGCTACGCCGGAAAGGGGACATCCTTTCTATCCCGGGAGGAATCCTTCCATAACCTTGTGTACTAGAGGGGAATAAGATTTTTTAAGGAGAAATAGTGAATTCTATCGGCTAGGACACTTGCATGTGTCTTTGCATGCTTTCTTAATCTTATATGTTTGCTTGTGTTGCAAGAAAATAGTATACGTGAACAATTATCCACAATAGATACCACACTGCACAAGGAGAATAGAAAAGAGATCCAATGGGAACAAAAAAACCGTTTCTTATATTTAAAATTTGGGTAAATACAATTTAATATCCAAACCTTTCATTTTAAACAATATAATAGCCAAACCTTTTCGAAAACAATCTAATATCCAAATCCTCAACTTTCCGTCCGTTTGACACTTCCAAAAAGCTTTGTTTAGGGGAAATTGTCACAATACAACTTTGTTTTCTTGTTTTGGCATTGCAGATGACTGTATATTTAGATATTCTATACCATCATGGTGGAGTCATGGACTTCTCGGGTTTGGAACCACGATATGTTGGTGGTTTTTCAGAGAAGATATCGATGGATATTGATGAAGCGTCGTACTTCGAACTTTTTTGAAGTGTCAACTAACGGTCAAACAAACGGAAAGTTGACGATTTGGATATTAAATTATTTTCGAAATGAAAGGTTTGGATATTAAATGGTATTTACCCTTAAAATTTTGGTATGAACGTGCAGTAGTATTATGATAAGGAACACCCATAAAAAGGTTGGTGGAGGTTGTTGGTGAAGGAAGCTCACCAAACTTGACAAAAATGTCTTTACCCACTAACCCAACCAACTAATATTAATATTTTGTATCACTGGACAGAGATGGACAACCTTATTATTCCTCCTGCTGGCTCTTTCTATCATTTCTCTTCTTTTACTCATATACGTGATGGATGGTTCGTCACAACATATCTCCATATATATCTCTACTTTATTAATAAGGAGATATATCTATACGGCAGTAACCGACAAACAATATTGTATATGTTTTCTGAGATTATGTTCCTAAGATCAAATGGTACGTTAAGCTCACTGCACGCTTTATGATGAGCATGTTTTCGTAAATAGATTGTGAGCAACATAGCAAGATTGGTTTTCACATTGGAATGAAAATAATAAACTATTGATTGATGTGTGTGTGGTGGGAAAGATAAAGTTTATAGGGATTGTTCGATTGAACATGATGATTTGGCTTGCACGTCTCAGCCACATCGCAAACTGCAAGGCAAAATGTCTCTATATTTCAATGATCGATTCCTCGCAACTAGAGTTATTCACAACTTGGGGGATAATGAGCATTTCCATGATTCATTGTCATGGATAGTTAAGAATAATACAATGTTTTCGAGTTATTCGAATAATACAGAGCAGAGCAGAGCAGAGCAGGCAGGATAATGTGGGGAAAAAAGAGAAAGGGAAACACAAAGGGGTGAAATGAAGTAATAATTCCCGGGCCGGGAAAGATGCAGGCTTAGGTGATCCGACGGCAGAGAGTGATCCCATCGCCGACGGGGAGCATGCAGATCTCGATCCTAGGGTCAGCAGCGAGGGCCTTGTTGAGCTCCATGACGAAGTCGCGGTAGTACCTGACATACTTCCTCATGGGAGCATCAGCCGGCTGGGCCACAGATCCGTTCCACAGGGTGTTGTCGTAGCCGATCACCCCACCCACCTTCACCAGGTCGATCAGCCTCTTGTGGTAGTTGATGTAGTTGTCCTTGTCCGCGTCCACGAAGATGAAGTCGTAGCTCCCGTGGTTGGCTTTCTGCACATACATTACAAACACAATGTTCAAATTTCGAATTGAGATGTGATATTCTTCTGTCTTGAAGAGAATTAAAAAAAAAAACAGAGTTGCCCCTGATTCGCACAAGTTCATGCGATCCCGGGACTTGAGGCCAAGCTGGCAATGGTTTCCAAAAACAAAAACAAAATTGGGGGAAAAGGAAATTAACTTACGTCTTCAAGCATCTGGTCAAGAACGGGGAGGGCAGGGCCTTCTCTGAACTCGATCTTGTGAGCAACGCCGGCTTTCTCGATCACAGGCAGCCCCAGCTCGTAGTTCTCCCTGTTGATATCCATCGCCAAGATCTGCGCAGCAGTGCCGCCAAACAACCAGTCAGTCAACACCCACTAGAAAATTTTCATTGGAAAATAGGGAAAGAATCGAATCAGGACCTTGCCGTCGTCCGGAAGGGCGAGGGCGGTGGCGAGGAGGGAGTATCCGGTGTAGACGCCGATCTCCATGGTGTTCTTGGCATTGATCAACTTCAACAACATGCTCAGGAATTGGCCTTCGTCGGCGGACGTCGTCATCAGATTCCATGGATGCTTGGCGGTGATGTCCCTCAGCTCCTTCATGGCTTCTGGCTCTCTAGGGTAAACACTCGTCTCCAGAATGTACTGCAATAGCGGAAGGGAGACAGAGGAACAGACCAATCGATCAGTATTATTATTTAAATTTGAAATCATCGGAAAGGAATTAGCTAGAACCAGGATTTTTTCCGGAATGAGAGGTAACTAACCTGGTAAAGGGCGTCGCTCTGGAGGAGACTCTTGTGGCCGACTTCTGAGTGCCGACTGACGGTGCTGCTCTGCTGCTCTTCCGCCATTGCTTTGGGGGATTTTGTTTCCCTGTGTGTGTGATTGGATGGAGCTTTCGGAGAGGAATTGGAATGACCAAGAAGTGTGATGAGAAGCTGTTTGGGAACTTTTGGGAAAGCAATCGACCCATATATAATGGAAATTGGAGGGAGGGAGGGGACTTTTTGAACCGGTGGTGGGTTGGACCGGGATGATGTCCGGTCGGGAGTTGGTGAAGCCTTTGGTTCGGTGGGCGGTGTGTTGGATTGGACTGTTGGTTATTTGGATATTCGGATTTCGGGCTTTGTGGGATGCGGGGCCCGCGGGGTTAGGAATTTTCTCCTTTTGCTGACTTTCAAAAGCGACGCCTACGTCAAATAAAAATATAAAATAAACTTAAATAGAATAGAGAAATTTATAAGATTACTTCTGTTAAAATTAAAAAATAAATATATAAGCCACTTTGTAGTTGCCAAGTCCACAAAGAATTGATCATACTAAATACTAATAATCGTGGGGAGCTTAGTTTAGAGAACTGATTATTCTGTTAATTCCATATATTAACCAAGGTTCAAAAAAGCGCTAGGCGTAAGGCAGGCGCTCGGCTCCTGACTTGTGCCTTGCCTGATTAGGCGTAGCCTAGGCGCGCCTAGGCGTTCAGATTAGAAATGGAAAAAATTATCAAATATTTCATGTTTCCTGGAATACTTCATATGATCCAAGTGCATATAAACTTAGCAATGCCTAGTTCTTAAATCTTAACAGTAAACACTTAACATAACAAATAACAAGCAAATAGTGATCACTTCCTAGAATCACAAGTTCTTAAAATGTCGAAATACTAAACAATAGTCCATAACAGTAAACACTTAAACAATCCTTGAACTAAGAATGACTAATAAACTATAGAATAGAAAGTAACAGACACACAATAAACTAATCATGTCCCACCCATTCCATTCTTTCATCATTTAACGAGCTTCTTTGATGCAAAAGCAAAAAAAAGGACAAGGGTTTTTGTCTTTTTGGCGTCCACCAGCAAAGCTACAACTAGCAATAACAATCCAAAATATAAGTATAGAAATTGAACAAAGGAAACAGAGACAAAGCTCGACAAAACTCATGCTGCCCCAACTCATTTTGCAGTAACAATCACAAGTTCAACACACAAAGTTAACATAGGCAAAGCAACGAGTTTTGGTTTTAGAATATAAAAAACCAGGTTTCATTCAGGTGAGTTTTGGTTTTCCTTTGTTTGATTTCTGTTCCCTCACCTACGACGAACGAGAACAGAACAGAACATGGTACTTACAGAGGTGAGACGAGCTTCTCTTTGCGGCCAGCACCCGAGTGACGAAGAGCTTCTCCGACTGCTTTCGAGCTTCAGTACAGAAAAGAGGCGGCCGACGAGCTTCGTATCTAACCTAGAATCATGGGATGGAGGAAGACGAAGAGGGAATTAAGGTTTGGGCTCCGATTGATTATGAGAAACTGAGATGGAGAAGACTTACCAATGCCCACTAGAAGCCAAAACGTAGCGTTGAATTGTGGAGATCAAAACGACTCTGTGCTGTGATAATTCCAGCGGCTGATAAAAAATGCCTAGGCCCCCATTAATCGCGCCTAGGCCCCATTTGTCTCCTATTAGGCGTCCATTAATAGCTATTAGGCGCATTAAGCGCTTTTTACAGCGCTATTAACAAAAGCACAGCGTTGCTTCAGCGCCTTGAGCTTTTTTAAGCCTAGGCGCACGCCTAGGCGCGCCTTCTTGAACGCTGATATTAACACTAATTGTCTGAAGAACATATAACTAATATCTTAAGTGGGTGGGGTTGTTGAATCTGTAATCCGGATCCATAAGCTGAATTAGCAAGCTATTTTAATTATCCTAGATGGACGGGACTTCATTTGTTTATTTGGAAATGGTTGTTGGATTGCGTTTCCTTGTTATTTCGTAGAAGTAGTCAGACCAAACTTGGGCTTTTATACTCTTTCGTATAACCTCTACTTCTTTTTTTAGAATACAGACGCAATGCGTACTAGATCATATCATTAACATCACGACACATGAAAATACCCATGTTATTGTGTAAAAGCCAATAACACAAGTTCGGGTCGCTCACATCGAATAGATTTGTGCCAAAAGAAAGGAAGTATCCCTTAGAAGCTAAGTAATCAGCTACAAAATTACCCTCCCGAAAGACATGGTTAATTTCCACAACCCATTCCCTAGCAAGAATGCTCTCAAAGAGCTTAGCAATGTGACCATGACATGATCATTATTACCCCTACTTCTAATGATAGCTGAAGCAGTGGTGGAATCAATATTGAGTTCCACTCTTCTGAAACCAAGCTGCCATGCCATTTCCAACCCTTCCGCAGCCCCTTTCAGTTCAGCTCGAGTGATAGTGCACCTCCCAAGATTGCAGGCAAATGCTCCCAAACATCGTCCCAGATAGTCTCGCACAAGCCCCCTGCAGCAGCATGACCAGAAGGTTGGGCAACAGACCCATCAGGTTGTACCTGAACCCAACCTTCTTTTGGAGGTTTCCAGGCAATCTCGAGTCTAGTTTTTGTCATGTTGACAGGTGCAAGACACTTTTCAGAGTTGGAATGAGCTTGATTGTTGATGTTGATCCAGGAAAAGCAGTTAAAACCAGGATTTTACCTAAAATCGAAAACTGGGGTAAAATCAGAATCGTAAAATCAAATCGTAGGATTTTAAGTACCATATAGAAATTAACATATATTAATATTAATAAGGTAAATAATTAATAACACAAAGACTTATAACATTTAAAGTGATAATTTTCAATATTAATGTTCCAAAATCATCATTTTAATTGTTATGTAATGCGTAACTCAAAATAATTTATGAGGAAGGGATAGAGCTCATGGGGTTTGGCTCTTGTTTTTCATGTTGTGTCTAGGTAGTTTAACTCAAAGTAGTATTCCGACATCGTTTACTAAGCATGATTTAAAACTAAGAATAAGTGAACTCTAATAAAATAATTAATGTCATTGGTTTGATACAAATATATTCATTAATCAAATAATTTTTTAATAATGATGTTAATTCTTACGTGCTTACAATATTATGGCAATTGTTTTACCGATGAGTTAAACAAGGAGAAGGGAAAGGGGTTGACCGAACCCTAATTAGTTTTTTTTTTCTTTTCAAATGTTCTTTTAATAGGAAACATATATGTGAAGATCCCCGTCATTGCTCTTTCTACCGAAACAGTTCTGCTTCTTATGAATTGGATCAAGCTCCCTATTTTGTTCACATAGGATCAAAATCCCAATTTTGGTACGATTTTAACGATTTTTATCCTGATTTTGAACGATTTTAAGGTCCACTGATTTTATAGTAAAATAAGGATCGGAATCCCTAAGTAAAATCCTACGATTTTACGATCAAAATCCCGATTTTGACTGCAATGGATGTAGGCAATCACCTGCTGGATTAGGCCATCTTCCGAATAAGTCTTGTCCTCCATAACTTCTTCATTTCGTTGTTTCCACAAGTTCCATCATATTATCCCAAAATCAATCCCTGTCTCCTGATCCATCATGTTCTTGATCAGCCACGTTTGAAAGTCAATGTCGTTGTCATTCACCTTGAGTTTGTCCTTGAAGTGCCTCCACAGGCCTGCAGTTTTTCCACACTTTCTGAGGATATGCTCCGTTGTTTCTTCTGTTGATCTGCAGAACTTGCACATTCCATCCTCAGTAAGCTTTCTTTTCACTCTTTCCTTGTTGGTTAGCAGTATGTTGTGGCTTGCAAGCCACATGAAGTGCTTGATGCGGCTCGGACCCTTCCACTTCCATAGATCTCTCCATACGTCGATTGGTGAGTTGTCCACCTCCCCTGCTACCAGAGAGTAGGCTGATTTGAGCTTGAATCTTCCATCCTTCTCAATGCCCCAGACAGTTCGATCCTCTCCCAGCTCAGAGTTTGGCGCATCAGTTCCTGCAATAAGCGAGATCATCTCATCAGGGAGGTATATTCTCATTCTGTTCCAATCCCACTCACCTGACTCATCGACCGAGCTTGAGACTGAAGCACTCAGTTCCTCTTCAGTGAGCTCTTTCAAGGTGAAATCTTCTAGGATCAGGCCATTTTCCACCCAAGAATGAGTCCAGAACCTAGTAGTCTCCCCGTTCCTGACACTCCATTGTGTGGCCTGTTTCATGAAAGGCAAGGCTTTGACAATTCCCTTCCATTAGGTGCGCATTATTTGTGATGTAATTATAGCAAGTCTTTCCATAAACCTGTTACACAATGTTTATTTTGAAATAATCTCATTAAATAGTGTTCTTAACTTTAGAAAAATCAAATATATTATGTTAAACATATCGTTTGGTATAAATGAATTCTATAAGTTTTTAGCAATTTATTTTGAAATGAAATCTTTTTGTGTTTGGTATTCAAAACAATTCATTTTTAATTTTAAATTTTGAATTCTACGGAATAGGAGCTAGTTATAGCAATTCCGCAGAATTGAGATGAAATTTACAAATGAATTCCACAAGTTTTTTTTACTAATTATAATACAATGACATAATTATCCCTATTTATTAAGTAAATTACTTATAATATGAATCCAATACACAAATTATGCGCACCTAACTCTCCTCTTTCCACAACTATATATATTATAGTTTATATGTTATATGTTATTATGATCCATGTTGTACGAGGAGCATCAAGAAGAATTTGATTGCAACATTAGTAGCATATGGTAGTTATTATATATATATATATTTGCTTCGATTGTATCGGTATGTTGAGTAGTCACAATTGGAGTGTATGGTTCATGGATAAATAATTAGACATTAACTAATGAATAGAAGATGAATTTTCAATGAATATGTTTTCTGTGAAAATTTAATAAGGGTGTAGTTGGAAACTTTTAATTCAATTCAATTTTGAACGCATGCCAAACATGTTTTGAGAATTCAATTCATTCTATTTCTAGAGATTAAATATGACATACCAAACACAATAATTCATTTGATAATGAATTCTACATAGTAATTCATTTTAATATGAAATGAATTCTTGATTTATTTGATACCAAACAGTTTGTAAATAATTTATATTTATGTAAATGATAATATTTACTTGTCATATATAATTATTTGCTACAAATATAGTAGAATCAATATATAACTATAATACTAATGGTTTCTACTTATAATATTTTTATTTATTAGACAACGGTTCGTTAACGGGTTTATAGAGGCTTAATATCGGTTGAACCAGTAAAGTGCGAACCACTTATTATACCGGTTCATACATCGGTTCGGTTTTGACAACATTGGTAAAAACATAAGTTTTTAGGCTTTAAAGCGTAAATTTTGACTACAGTTGTAAGTAAAAAGAGTGATTTTACGTAGAAGTTTTTTAGTAACCTAGAAGTATTAAAGTATAACCTTTTAAGTTTTAAAGCGCGATATTTACTGCATTGCGTAGCTCAATTACTAGGTTAGTCATTTTAGTATGGTGTTAATTTTTTTTAGGATATTCACATCGATGCTATTTTGTCAATAACAATCTTACATGACAGCCAATATGTAAATACAAAGGAAATTACACCAAATGTTTTAATATAATTGACACTTGCAAAGATAAAAGCTTCCATTTGATGTAATTGAAGATGCAAGCCATATAACAAAACAACAAGAATAATTTATTTTTTCTTCATTCATTTATTTTTGTCTTGGGTCCATCGCATTTGCAATTGGAAGTGAATTACATCAATGTATGTGGAGGTGCAATAAAACTAACATAAGTTCAATTACATAAATTGTTATGATGACAATATATAATATGAGAGTGGATAAATATGGCTCAAAATTACAAAACCAAGATATGCATTCATCCATTAACTTTGATATGGACCGTCCACAACTTATGAAGCCAAAGACAGACGACCTATTAGTTTATGATCCCTTTTGTGTTTGGTGTAAACCTGTCACATATCCCAGATAAGAGAGAGAGGAACTTTGTGACCAGTCAAAGCATATATTTTCTATTCTTCTATTTTCTTAATCGCATCATATATCTTTTGTTTTAACTGGAAATTGTAATAATTTTAAATAAAAATAAAACATTAATTATGATCTACACCATGATATCCATTTTCCTATATTTTGAGTAATTTGTTAACCATTCAAAAGGTGTGTATGTTATAATCTTATCATGATGATATGACTGTGATATAAAGTCATATCTCATTTGTTTTAACTCAAAATTTTAATTTTTTTAGTTAAAACGAACTCATTAGTTATGATATACACAATGATATCTAGTTTGCTATATTTTTTATAAAAGAATTAAATCAGCCCTTCAAAAGCACATGTTTGTTGTAATTTTATCATTGTCATATCATGATATTACAACTATGATAAGACTAACTGCACTATCTTACCACAGTCATATCATGATATTACCACTATGATAATATAATGATAATATCAAGATATCATAGTGATATGGTGATACCAAAACTTTTTGGTCAAAGATAAATTTTATACTATCTTATCATTGTTATAATTACATCATAACACTATGATAAAACTTCATAATATCATCTCACCATAGTCATATAATGAACTTACCACTATGGTGGTAACCTCATCCCACTGTTAAATAATCACGATATTAATATCATGGTATGACAGTGATATTAACATAATTATATGACAGTGGTAAGATAAAGTTAAAGTTTTTTCTCACAAAAATATCCAATCGATTTTATTTGGTAGTGTACAAAAAATCTAATTTTTCTATGCAAAAAGAATAAATATGGTCTGCAAAATTTTTGAATCAAATTTGAAAAGTGCTTTAACAACACGCCTGGAAATCCTTGCCAGTCCCAAAAAAATATGATCAGTTATCCCCCCAAAATATCTTATTCCCCTTCTTACCCTTTATGATATGGACCTTAAATCTCTCATTTTTCCAAATTACAACTAGTGATGGCGATATGCGCGTTGGGCAGGACGGGGTTTTCAATAGCAATACCCTCCACGCACTCAGCAGTTAGTAAGGTCGAATAATACCCGCGCGGGTACGATACGGAGCGAATCGATAATTCTTATATGTTATTTGAAAATAGAACGTTAGTAGTTAACTTTTTTTTTACAAGAACCATAGAGAAAACACTTCATAAATGAATAATAGATATAGTAGAAGGAATAATGGACTCTCAATAGTTGAAAGAGAGAGTTTTAAAATATATCTGGAATGGAAATATCATTTTAAAAATATAAAAAAAATACATATTTATATTGATAAAAATCATGATAAAACGAAATGAGTCACAATAGGTCAAAAGCAATACTTATATCCTGCCCCGCGGTGCTCCAAATATGAGGCTATATATAAAAGTGATTTTGTAATTAAATCAAAGAAAAAGCAACTTTTGGTGGGGCGGAGGTTTGCTGGCCAACTGCCCTATCTTCTCGTCCCGTATAGAGTGGTGGTGCCTTATTAAGATCTTGAATGGCCAATGGGGATTAGCCATGGCGTTGGCATCGATGAGACAAAGGCAGTAGAAAAAGGGTAATTATTAATTAGGTAAACAAGGAGTAGGTAAGATAGATGTCAAACCTATCGAGTATCAAATTCTGCAGCATGGGAACAGAGAGTTGGTGGCCGTCGTCACTACCGATGAAATGGAATTGGGAAATTGGTGGAAATATTATGTGTATAAGATAAAGCATCGCATTATCAAACATTATAAATTCTATTTACTGGTAATTATTGGTCACTGATCAGTAGATCAATTTACCCGTTAGCTCGGGGGAAAAATACATGAATTGCTATTTGCCGCCCGCAGTTTTACTATTTGCCGCCCACAGTTAGAAAAAAAAGACGATTTTGCCCCTAACCCTATCCCACCCTCAACCCATCTGCCGCCACCCCCCTTCAACCCTCCTTCCTTCTGCCGTCCTCCCGCCGCCGACAACCCTCCTCCTGCCGGACCTCCCGCCGCTGCCGACTCCTCCCTCCTGCGAGCCCAGAAGCTGCCGCCGAGCCTAGAAGCTGCCGCCAAAAGGACGCCACAGCAGCGCCGCCGCCGCAAATCGAGTCCTCCTCGCTCGCTCTCGCCGCCGCCAACCTCCCAAGCTCGGCGAAGAGAATTTTTTTTAATTTTTTTTTCAGTCGCCGTCCGACTGGCCGGAGCGGACCCCGTCCGCCCGGTCTGTTCGGACCCCGTCCGCCCAGTCTGGTTGGACCGATCTAATTGGGTTTATGATTCGGTTTGAATGGTTCGGTTTAAATAAATATTTATTAGATTTATTTTAAATACAATTGTTAGTATCTTAATTAGTTTAATATTGATAGTTGAATAATTAGTATATAATTGTTAATTTGACCATAGTTGGTTGAGGGAATTAGGATTTGACTTAATTAGGGTTTGACCCGAATTAGGGTTTGACTAAATTATATATTATTTGACCACAGTTGGTTGAGGGAATTAGGGTTTGACTTAATTAGGGTTTGACCATAATTAGGGTTTGACTAAATTATATATTATTTGACCATAGTTGGTTGAGGGAATTAGGGTTTGACTTAATTAGGGTTCGACCCGAATTAGTGTTTGACTAAATTATATATTATTTTGACCACAGTTGTTTGAGGGAATTACGGTTTGACTTAATTAGGGTTTGACTTAGGGTTTGACCTAATTAGGGTTTGACCCAAATTAGGGTTTGACTAAATTATATATTATTTTGACCACAGTTGTGGGAACTAGGGTTTGACTTAATTAGGGTTTGACCCGAATTAGGGTTTGACTTAATTAGGGTTTGACCACAGTTGAAATAATCTCACCCAAGATGACGGATAACAACAATAAGAATCAACTCGACTCAACTGGACCAATAATGACAATAAAGTAGGAAAGCATCGCATCCACCTCCTATACCTTATACTCCTCTGAAACCCTAAACCCTCATTCCCCTTGAATAGCTACCTTCAACCTCGATCCATCCAATCCTACTAGGAAATTATTGTAGAGGCAAAATCATCTCTTCCTCCACTAACAATAATATTTCGTCTCGTGGAAATATACGTGATAGGCTCAAGAAACTCCTAGTTATCACCATCAGAGCCCTAAAAACACCTCGATGAAAGTTTTGGCACTATTCATCTCTTTTTTTCGGGAATGTACGATTGATAAACAATCGATTCCAATACATTTGTATCCATATTTTAAGAGATCGATGAAAGTTTCAATATTTTTTCATGTCGGTGACTCTAGTAATTGCTAAAAGATGTTTTTGCCCGACCTTCCCCGAGCCGCAAAGAGTCCTTTTCGTGCCTCGATTCCTTGGAAGTTTTATAAAACATAATTTAGGTACGATGATCTTATTAAATATGAAATAAATACAATTAAAAAGGTTTAATCAAAATTTATAAATATTTTATAACTATTCTACATAATTAAAATGAATTATTTATTTATTTTAGCTCTATTTACATAATTATAAAATAAGTATGAATTAGTTTGTACAATATTTTTTATAATTTAATTTTTTTTCTTATGAATAATTTTTAGTTTTTCTAATTCATAAATATAATTAATAAACATACATATAATTATTAACATGATATAATATTAAAAAAATAGAAGATTGAGTTAAATAATTATTATCATTTAGCGACGAATTTTGTGACGGTTTTGAAACCGTCGCTAATGCACGGTCCGCTCACCAGCGTCGGACGGGGTCCGCCCGCCGGCGTCGGACGGGGCCCGCCGCCGGCTGTGATGATTTGGTTCTGGCCGCGGTGGTGATCTGGTGGTGGTGGCGACGCAGGCGATTTGGCGGCGGTGGTGGACTGGCGCCGGCGACAGCAGGAGTGGCGGGGGCCGGCGATGGTCTATTGTCGGCCGCAGTGGTGGTCGCTCGTGTTGTGGTGGAATGGGGTTTGTTTTATAAAAAATGAACAAATGGTAAAAATGTCATTTTAATTTAATTTACGGGCGGCAAATAGTAAAGAGACGGGCGGCAAATAGTAACCCTAAAAAATACCAGTTAGCTAGTATCCTTCGGTTCGAAGTGTTTCTTGCAGAATGCAGAGGAACGACGGATAAGTATCACTTAAAAGAAGTTTGAATAAAATCATTTGATGATCAAGTAATTAGCATTGATGTTTTACTAAACATAGCGTACAGTGACTCAACTGGAATAATAATCTATCAAGGTTCTTACTAATATATGGTTTTACCAATATTAAATTACTTAAGCATACGGTTACTGAACTAATACCAAAATTCACTTAATTGATCAAACTCGAGAATTGACAATTATGTTGGATGGTCAAGAACGTTGACCGGCGATCAACCTTCCACGTCACTACTAAGTCAGCATATGCTGACTTAAATATTCATATTTTACACAAAATACAAATTTTTGTATTTAGTTTGACTAGCATGTGTGTCAAAGATGGTAAGCGGGCACAAACATGTGTGTCAAAGATGTAAGAAGCATGGTCTTCTGGATTGACTATTGGATTGACGAGGATACCCTCTTCATTGATCATATCCGCGAGGATGCTCCGCCGGTGGACCCTTCAGTTCCAGTCGCGGCTTTCTTAGGAGAACAAGGTGAGTGGGACGAGAACTTAATTGGCGCGTTCTTACCTAGAGAGGTTGCTTTGCAGGTCATGGCCAGTCAACCCCCAAGACAAGAAGGAGGTGATGACGAGGCATTCTAGGGCCCTGCAACAAACTGAAATTTCAAAGTTTACTCTGCTTACATCATCGCCTGTGGCTGAGAGGCGAAGCGAACTGAGCTGAACTGGAGGAAGATTTGGAGCTGGAGTGGACCGCTCCGGACGACGCATTTCATATGCCTGCCATCAAGGGAGAGATTCCAGACCAATGATGATTGGTGCCGACGACACATCTCCTCCAATCGCAACTGTACCTATTACAACTCCGCAGCTGAGACAGTCCTGCTTGTGTTGCGACTTGTGAGACTGCCCATTTCCAAGGTTAATATGGATGCGCCTCATCAAGCTTTTTGACCACCGCAATTTTTTTGGTATTCCCCTTCAGGAGTGGCTTTTGAAATACCTCCACCACCAAGACTACGACTTAAGTTTTGGATGGTGGTCTCTTTGGAAGACCAGGAATGATAGAATCTTTAGCAATAAGATCACCACCACCGAGACCTTAATGCAACGTCTCAAGGCCTGGATTAATGTAGTGCAGATGGCTCCGGAGAAGGACAGATTCGTCCATTAGCCTCTCGTGCCCACCATAACGGAGTTTGAGATCGCTTGGAAACCGCCGCCTCCCGAGTGGGTCACTCTCATCTCAAACGATTTTATTCTCCTAACACAGGTCAGGTTGCAGCTGGCGGCCTGATACGAGATCACACAGGTAACTTGGAATCTTGGTTATCGCCATCTCCGTGTGGAACCGGACTTTAGATGCGCGACTCAGATGGTCATGAGCACAGAGATCACCACCCATCATCACTAGCCCATTGTGGCCCGATTCCAGGATCTTGCTGTTCGTGATTGGAAAGTGGTGATTTCCCATGGTTACCGTGAAGCTAATAAGTCTACTAACAATTTAGCCAACGGTGGCCACTCCTTGTCTATGGGGGTGCATAGTATTTCGCGTTATGATCCTCTTCTGTATCAGTTTATTCTATATGGCTGTCAGAGGTTTTTCGAACCCTGCTTGGTGTTGAATGAAAGATAAGATGCGGTGCATCTATTTACCAAAAGAAATATAAAACTAAATCCCGGTTACTGTTCACTAAGATAGTTTAGCTAGCGATCAGTTGCAAGAAAACCCTCCAGCCGATTGGGCATGTTGATGGGCTTTTTAACTTCTAAAATTTTGGTCGGGTTTGTATTAATGTGGGTCTTATTTATTTTCGGTGCATTCTTCTTCTCTTTCCGATTTTTAGATCCATTGAGGAAGATCTTGCTAGAAATGGGTTTTGGCTTTGTGGGTTGAAAAAAAAAGGAAATAGCTCTTTGCTAGAATTTATAGCTCTTTTTTTTAACATAGGCAGTCCATAGTTCTTTGATTTATCTTCACTTCAAAATAAAAATTGGCCTATCTTTCTTTTCTTTTTTAAAGTCTTGATGGTACCTAAAGAGCCAAACGATTCATGCAATTTAGCATTTATTCCCGGAGCACTTCTACTATGCTATATAGTATTGGTGCTTTAATGTACAACTTGAAGTTGTACCATAATATTAAATGTATAAGTTTAGGTTGTACCATAAAGAAATTTGTATCATTATGTTATGGTACAACTTTACAACTTAAAGTTGTACCATCACATAAGGTACAAGTTTAAGTTGTACCATAAAAGAATTTGTACAAAAAGTATAGGTACAATCTAAAGTTGTACCATAACGTTAAAGGTATAATTTCAAGTTGTACCATAAAAGCAAAAACCTATAGCACCAATACTATATAGCATTGTAAAATTCCTCTTATTCCCGCCATTAAATGGTAAATCACGTAATTCCATGCTTGTTCACTCAAATAGAAATTCAAATGTTTTATTTTCCCCCTAATATTTAGTATTGGCTATATTTTATGAAATTAAATTTCAAATTTCTGTAAAAATAAGTTGCATTGATCATGATCTACACAATGAAATCCATTTTAATATATTTTAAAATATAATTTTTTTACAAATTCATGAATAAATAATAATATGTCTGGATAAACATCAGATTGCGTGAACATTACTGTTTGCATGAATAACTGCCACTCTCACGTGAAGAATACTAAAAATGCGTGAATTAGGTGTGATACCTCTTTAGGCGCCACCAAACCATTTCCTAATGTTTTAACCTTTTTATTATTATCCTCTCACTTCATCTATACTCCAAGGTAATTGCTAATGAGCACGTTTCATTGTTTTCTAGTCACATGGGCGCAGCAAGGTGCACATAATTTCTAGTATATATTTAAGTCGGAAAGTTTTCTTTTGGGTGATTATTAGGAATGAGAATGGGCGGGTTTAGGGCGAGTTTTTCTAAACCATCCTCATCCCCATTTCCAAATTACCAAATTCATACCCGACTCATACCCATGTGGTGGAAGATTTTACAAACTCATCCCCATATCCGGGGTTTTTGGATACCCATGGGTAATACTCCCCCATCAGCACTCACCATTAATAAAAGAATATGCTGATAAATATGGTACTACCCGCTCATAATTATGGAACTAATACATAAGATGATGAAATTACGGTTTGGTTGCCATCAATTACATTTTAACACTTTGTTTTTTCTTTTAATTATCATTCATTCCATCGACAGGTTACAATAGAATTCTTATATTTTATTCATTTAACATAATATCCTTGGTGGGGCGGGGAAGTCCAAAACCATACCCCATCTCTATCAACCTTTTAGCGGGTTTTATCCATACCTATCCCATACCCAGTCAAAGCGGGGATTCTCCGCCTAGACTTAGTCGGAGACGGTCCGGTACCCGCAACCATAAATTTAGACGTTTGGTTGTGATCGCTAGTGATTATAGTGGCAAACTTGTGACTCATGTTAACTAGATAATGTGTAGAAGAGAAGGCAACGTATTAAACAAGTGGCGATTGAATGACTTTAAAGTTCAAACCAATCCCCTTCTTATACAGTTTTGGTACAAGACGTGTCTCCTAACCAGAGGCAATGCAAATGCAATATGAGAGTCTTTGATGCTAGCGATCACGGCTCTTTCTCTTGAATGTTTGAGATTCACGTGGTTAGAAAGGGTAAAATATCTCGGGTATCATTAAGTTTGAAAATTGCGGGAATCATACTACCTAACTTAGAATAGGACGTTGGGTACAACTATTGTCTTTAAATTGGACATCTGTCCATTTTTCCGTCCAATTGACTAATGGTCACAGTAATTTTTTTTTGACATATGAGCGTTGACTAAGGTGTCAAAATAGAACCCGACCCAAGTAACCCGCCCGTTCAACCTACCACAACCCGAACTTACTAAAAGTCAATGACCCGTAACCCAATTGACCTAACCCAATCAACCTGTAACCCGACTGGCACGCAACCCAATTGAACCCGACCTCGACTAACACGAACCCACCCGATTGACCCGAATAATTACTATATAGAAATGATATATAGTCTTTCAAAATGAAGTTTTTAGTTCTAAACCAACGTAAAACCATTTTTTTTTTCAATTTTCTAAGTGATGTTCAAAAACTAAAATTTACTTGGAATTATGTAAATTTAATAAAATTACAAATATTAAACATTATGTTCACTTGAACATTATGTTCATCTTGCAATATCAATTATGTGCAATATATTGAAAACTTGGAGTTCTAGTCGGTTAAAGGATTGTTGTTGCAAATTATGTATGAATATATTGAAGTTGTATCTAACATCATTTAATTTCATCACATAAATGTTTGTGGAATAGTTATTCTAAATTTTTTGTTTTAAACTGAATTTGAAAGTTTACTTATATGTGTTATGGTACACCACCTAATTTGTGGTTGTAACTTGTAATAGGGCTATTGAATGAAAATGTTGATCTCACCATAACTATTGCATCAATCAAATATGTTTTTCTCTTTCCCCATGAGTTCTTTCTTCCCTCTCCCTTTCATTCATCTTGAATATAATACAAACACAAAACAACCATAAATTATAGGGAGACAATTATGTGTGCCTTTGTTAAATTTGTCTCTATAAATATGATGAGACCGATGTAAATGCCTTGAAGGATGGATACAAATAATATTTCTCTCTAAATCAATCATATCAATCATTTTTAGGCATAAGAAATTATATATTTGAATGTCAATAAACCCTCACTACAAGAAAAATTGGTTTCAGCAACTATATTCTTAGCAACCATAAGAAAATGGTTGCTGATAACTGGACTTTTGGCCACCATTTACAAAATGGTTGGTGATGCCCAACCTTTGAGCAACCATCATAAAATAATTGCAATAGACTAGGACTTATGCAACCATTTGCACAATGGTTGCTAATACCTAGCTCTTCTGCCAGAAAATCAATACATCACCAACCATTATCAAAATGGTTGCTGATACTTGATGTTTGAGCAACCATTACTTAAATAGTTGTCTATTGAGCAAAGTTTGAGCAACGATTTGTAAAATGGTTGTCGAAAAGTCAATACTTTATCAACCGTTATATAAATAGTTGCTCAAGCTTGTTGTTTGAGCAACTATTATTTAAATGGTTGCTGATTGAGCAAAGTTTGAGCAACTATTTGAAGAATGGTTGTCAAATGTCAATGCTTCACCAACCATTATAAAAATAGTTGTTAATAATTGATTTTTGCGCAACGATTACTGAAATGGTTGCCGATTAAGCAAAGTTTGACCAACGATTTGAAAGATGGTTGCCGAAAAGTAAATACTTCATCAACCATTGTCAACATAGTTGGTGATATTTAATGATACTTCATCAAGAACATTTTCTTTTCGTTGAAAAAAAAAGAGAATATTTTAGTAAATATATTAGAATATTTTTATCAATTATCATTATAATAAGGCATTATGTATTCATTCTATAATATTTTTAAGGACGGTTTTAAAACTAAAAATCTCATGTTCTTACACTTGTAGGTAATTAAAATGCTTCTACATAAACTCACTATTTTCACTATATGACAATGACCGTTCAACAAATTCGTATTCGACTTTAAATTTAATTAGTGTGTTAAAAGACCTTTTGTAAATGAATGAAAAATTCTTTTATGCCCCTATCACTATTGGATCAACGTTGAAGTCTATTAGTATCAAATACTAAATTGGTTCATCAATAATTTATTTTTCTTCATCAAACTAATCACTGCTTAACTGTTTTAGGTGACTAAATCATATAATACTGAACCCATGCCGAATCATCCAAGTCCAACTCTAATCCATACAAACTTTATCAAAACCATTCATCTCAATGAATCTCCACCGTTTATTCAACCAAGTACACAAAACCTTATCTCTTTGGCTTTCTATGGATGTCGAACCCCATTCCCTCATCCAACGCCTCCACTGATAAGTCTCCTCCCCACCTTCCTCTTCTGCCTTCCGCCGCCGCCGCTTTCTCAAATTGATGGGTGGCATGCGCCTCCTCCTCCCTCCTCGATTCTCTCTGGTTCCCACCGCCTCGTCGTCGAGGGCACAAGTCTCAAACCCATTCCCAAATCTCAACCCCATTCCCAAATCTCAACCCCAAATATGAACAAACAAAAACCCGAAACCCATTCCCAAATCCCCATCCAAAATCAGGTTACCTGGCGTTCCCTTGCCGTCGCCTGGCTTCCCTTAGCCGGAGACAGAGAGATGGCGGGAGGACAGGGAGAGAGAGATGGCAAGAGCACAACGGCGTGAGGAAGAATAGTTTCCGACCTCAAGCGACTACCGCCGCGCTCCCTTGTTTCTCGGTGAGACTTAACGGCGATGACGGAGACCGCATCCAGGCTCTGGTCTCCCAGCTTCCAGCCACCTTCAACAGGGGAGTCACTCGATACTACGGATCTGAACAGAGGAAAGAACTCAAGGGGACCGCCCTCTTCTTTCTCTAGGCAGCAGCAAAGACCTGGGTGTCGAGATCTTGGCGGAGGAAGGTTGCAGGAGAAGGAGCTGCGTTTGAGGATTGAATTGGGGGGTTTTTGCTACTGGTATTTCTTACTCAATTTTTTGTCAGTGTTGAAATTTGAGAGTTAGGGTTTTTAGTGAATCAATTCCATCGACTTGAGGGAGCTTCTATTTACTTAGAAATGACCGAGATGTTGCTTTTAGTTTTAAGTGCTTGTTTATGGTATGCTAGTGGAATTCAACCTGTCAATTGCCTTTTAGGTTGGAAAGATATCCCTCGTTACAGTAGTTGAGATTGGACTTTCACCTTCAATGAAGTGAGTTGAATTGCCTAACCTGCTTACTTTTCATTCTAATATGAGATTGTGTTTACATGTTCACTTCTGTAGGCGAAGAAGACGACTTCCATAGGAGCTAGGAAATAGGAAATGCTCCATGGACTACTATGGATGGAAGTTCATAAATCCTTGGCTTGCTTCTGCTCGATTTCGGAATCAATTGATGATGCGGCACTTGCCTTCCATGTTTAATATGCTTACAAGAGGTACTTTTTTCTTTCCCTTCTCTCGCCCTCCATCTGCCCTCTTTTGTTTTCTTATTATTGATCTTGGTAGAGCTTGTTTAATAAGCAATTGTTGATAACTCAATATGACTTATACTTCTCTTTTTGTTGAAATTACAGGTAGATGCATCATTTATTCAAATAATGTGAAGAATGCTTGAAGATACTAAGTATAGGCTTGCTAACCATTGAGATCATCTAAATATTCAGGATGATAATTGTATTATGGATATGTGTAGGAGTAGAACACAATATTATGTTTTGCCACTTTTCGTAATAAGATATCATTTTTGGATTAAGATTTAGATCAATTGAATATTATTTATGTTTTCTATTGTATGCTTTGATTTGTTAAGTTAATTTATAGTTAGTGTTTAACTACCATATAAATTAAAGGTTGGTTTATAACTGTTCACAGCTCTCATTCAGCTACCATAGGCTAAATAGTCTCTTAAACACACCTTTTGGAAACCATATAATAAGAGTTGCCTAACTACCCAACCTCCACAGATTGTTTGGCGACCATAAAAAAAGGTCGCCCAAACCTCTCATTTGACAACCATAAACGAGATTGTCGCTTGAAACGTCACCCTGTAGCGACCATAGTTATAGTTGTTCAAACTCTAGATTTACGCCAACCATTTTATATCGTCGCTGAAAACATGTAAAAGCCAACCATAAATAGATCGTCGCCAAACTGGTGTTCTGCCAACTATACCCTATGGTTGCTTATAGTATACATTCAGCGACCACATATTAAAAGGGTCGCCTTGGACCTATGCCAACGCAGTATTGCCGACCATCTTGGCGACCGTCTTTTATGGTCGCAGAACTGTTTCGGCAACCATTTTTTTAGTTTCAGCGACCAGTATTGATGGTTGCGGAAAGCATAATTTCTTGTAGTGCCTATTATAGATTTATAGGCATAACTATTTGACTATAATACATTTGAAAACATATCATCAGTCATTTTATCATAGTAAACCAATCAATTTTGTTATAGTATACAGAGGCTAGCACTCGTCATATGAACTAAATGGTGGAAAGAAAATCTCCATACTAATGGTTAGGAAAAAAAAACATTTCAAAATCCCACCTGTTTCCATTTTGAAGACTCATCCTTTTTCCACTTTGATAGTTCATATACTAAACACGTATAAAGTGTTTAACACATATTCTAAGGAATTGAATTGATAATTAATAACTTTTAATTTACAATCACGTTTAAATTATAAATTTATAATATTCTATAACTCATGCCAAACATTAACCATATTGTTATATTAAAATAATGAATAATAATTCATGTATTCATACCGTAATGTTCCTGTAGTGTACTGTGTACATAAAACTCGCCCTGATATATTAATATCTATAAAGAGAAAAATAGGTTTGCTGAAACATCGATCCGGTTCATAAAGTGAGAGAATTTGTCCCACCATAGATTTGTTTTTTTATGGGCAATCAAAAAATCGTATTAAGCTTAGGGTAAACCCTTGTAGTGGGCTTACAAGAAGTATATACATATATACATATATACAGATCTACAACTCAAAGCTACTACTACTATAATACCTGACTAACTATACTATCAAGCAAACTTGACTAACTAGCTCTAGGTTACAAAAAGACCTGATTACACACTTCATTCCATCGAGCATTACCCAAACGATAAACTTCTATAACCCTTATAACCCATCTAACTATCGCACCATGCTGCACTGCTTTCCCACCATACAATCTCCTCATCTCTCCCTCTACAGAAAGCTCAACATCAGAAGATACCATTTTTCCTTTGCTACTTTTGGTTTTCTACCTGCAAATGTATGAATTGCCCACTGAAGATATGCTTCAAACGCCACAAACTTAGGACTGGCTATCTGCAGCATTAGAAGACAACCTTGTAGCACGATATAAGAGTATGGACAGTTGAAGAAGATACGGTCCCTGGTTTGCTGATCTGTTCCACACAACAGGCTGTGATCATCAGTACTCTTCCCCCATTGCTTCAATTTATCCCTAGTAGAAAGCATGTCTTTAATAATCAACCAACTGATAAAATTGTGTCTTGGAATAGATTTGTTTATTCCACCACTCAGATGAGAGTTTTGTATAGACGTTGATTGGTGATGTGGATGGAGTTAGCTTGGGATGAGGATGGAGTTTCCCCATTTGTTACTTTGGTTGGAATCTTTTTGGAAATGGAAATATAGCGCGCTTGACCATTTTCATTTGTCGACAAAAGCCTTTTGGAGTGGGCAAAAGATTATAATGTATGCATATAAATTTGGGTTAATACTTTATTTTGGCCCGAAGTATACCCATATAATTAACTTTGGCCCGTAGTTTCAAAAATTGACATCCTGGCCTCAACTATACACAATATAGACTAATTTGGCCCAACTCATGAATTTTCGTCAAATTAGACGGTCAACGATGTTGACCGTTAGTGAATCAACATGCTTTTCTTAAGTGGATGCTAGGTTCACAATAAAAATTAATATAATAATAATTTAATAAAATAATTCATCCTCCCCTTCCCTGCAAATTCACCCTGTTCAAAACCCCCATTTCCATCTCCCCTAACCTCCCCAAGTTCTTTCTGATCTCCCTCTCCATCCTTCTCCGACCACCCTCTCTCATCTCCAACCTAACTCTCCGCCAACTTTGAAACTCAATGAATAGCCTACTTCCATGACATCGTCCTCCCCTTTAACTTGGGAGGCGACCTAACATTCTAGTCCGTCACCTGCATCAACCAAATACAAAAGGAAAAAAGTTCCCAGTCAAGATTCAGAATCGTATTCTGCCACCATAAAGAGTAAAAATACCGAAACTTTGGCTTCCAAATCGGACCAAAACCCATACCTCTTGTCTTGAGAAATTAGTGGGGAAGGGAAGGAATTGGGGGATTAGAAATAGAGAAGAGGGAGGGTAAACATAAGGTAGGGGTGTGTCAAGAACCAGTTAGTCTTAATAACTCGAGTTGTTGGGTGAGGTTCAATCTTGGATAATATAACATTCACTAACACACCCCCTCAAATGAAACCAGACACCTCATAAGGGATTTCGTTTGCACATATCCTGAACACGAGAATACATGTGCTTCACAAATGGGGTCACTGGGATTCGAACGCAAGACATTTCGGTCACATAAGGCTCTGATACCATGTCAAGAACCAGTTAGTCAAAATAACTCAAGTTGTTGGGAGAGGTTCAATCTTGGATAATATAGCATTCACTAACAGGGTGGACAAAGATCTGAACTCGGGAGAGAAAGATGGAGTGCAGAACGCCGCCACATCTTCCTTCTCCTCTGTCTTCGCACCACCGTAGCGATGCTCCTCAATCAGATGATGATTTCCTCTGAATCGACCTTGATGGATGGGACAACGAGAACAAGGGATAGAATCGGAGCGAAGCCTCGGGGAGATGGAGACAATTGAAGGATGAGGCAGGGAAAACATATGAGGGTTGCGGCGGCAGCGTGGGGTTGGATGGCCACATATTTTATAAGTATATTTGTTTATTTTCAATAATTATGAAACTAAAAGATAAATTATTTGATATTTTATTTATTTATTTGATATTTTATTAATTTTAATATCTATGTGGCATCCACGTCAGAGAAGCATGCTGATTCACTAACGGTCAACACTGTTGACCGTCTAATTTGCAGGAAATTTGCGAGTAGGGCTAAACTAGTCTATATGGTGTATAGTTGATGCCAATATGGCAATTTATGAAACCACGGTCCAAAATTGATTATACAAGTATACTTCGGGCCAAAATAAGGTACTGCTAGACCCAGTTCTTAATTGATAAAATTTTAAAAATATTAAACACCTCGCCTTTTGTTAATACACTCGATAGATTCTTAATTATTACGGTACTTGAAACACCTGAAAACTCGTATTATACCGTTAAAATCATCCATCTCCTATGTTGTTTTTACTCTCCAACTCTTGTTATTGTTTTTTTTCTTATTCTTGTTACTTTTACTAACCATTAATTCTGTCTTTTACTTTCCTCTCCCTTCCCACGTATTACTCCTTCCCTTCCTTCCTACTTTCTTTTATTTGATTTTTCAATTTCTTCTTTCCTCCTTCCCCATGCAAAAGGGAGGATGACAAATAGACACTCTCCTCCCTATTTTCCCTTTGTTCTTTCACATTCCTTTTCTTTCTTCTTCACATACATGCATACAGAAACATTCCACCTCCCATACACAAAAGCTTCCAACCTCCACGTCTTCCTCTTTCTTTCATTTTCTTTCATTTTCTTACTTCCCACATGCATAACCATGCATGAACATGCAACATTCACATATGTACTTGCTCCCCTTTGTTCTCTTTTCTTACATATTGCACCTATTTCCCACATAAGCATCTAATTCCAATGCATACTTAGAGTAGAGAACTAAAACCATTCACCAATTTTCTATGTTCCATAATCACTCACTTATTTTCATTTATTCTCTATTACATACTTACACTTTCTCATGCTTTCTCATACACACTTAAACTTTCTCATATACCATAATTGGTGAGGAATATTAGTGTATGACGAAGAATGTTAAGGTATAGCGGAGAATATTAACGAGTATAATGGAATAATGGAAAATGTTGGTGAATGTTAACGTAAGTTGAGGATTTCAACTACGACTTTTTTCTATAAATAGAGAGCACCCCTCCCCCTTTCTAAAGACAACAAGTCACACACACAACAACATAAGTCGCTTACGACGACTTCACACAACACAAATCACACACAATACATACTCTCTCTACTTTCTCTCTCTAAAAATGTTTTTTCTCTCCTACCCATCTCCCAAAACGTGTTAAATCTCTAAACACTCAACACACCCTCAATTTGGCGGACTAAGCCATGGAATCGTGGATAGCCTCCACCAGGTGGCATTAAATAGCCGACGACGCTCAATTACGACCGTGGGACCGAACTAGGTCTAACGTCATCGTATTTATTTTATTCCATTCAGGTTACTAATTTGAGCGTCGGAGGAGGTTCCAACCAGGACCCCCCGGTGGGACTTTTTTTCCTAGGTATTCACACGGAGCTGGAGGTGGTTAAAGGCTTTGGGAAATCAGCGCTCTCCGGACCTTAGACATATTGAAGTAGGCTGCTCTAAACTTGGCATCAACAATTGGCGCCCACCGTGGGGCCCGATGGGAAGAATATTTCCAAATTTTTAAGAAACCACCGCCAAGCTGTGATGAATACCCAAGGTTCTCCCAACATTCTTACTATCGAAGCAGTACGTCGCTTTTACGCGTAATCGAAACTGGGGGCAACCCAACCCCCCGTTCACCACTCAGTGAGGCACCAAGTCAAAATACAGAGCCCAGAGTGGTGCAACTTGCACATACTACCTCTATTCCGGCACCAGAAGGAATTCTCACCCCTACTCCGGCACAAGTACGTGAGATTCAGGTTAAAATTGAGCGACTCAGAGCTCAACTTAGAGCCAAAGAGGCCTCCCATATTAATGCTCGTGGCTCCTCCAGAGTACTGACTCACTCCTACTTTCACTCTAGGAATTGGCCAAGTGTAACCACTTCCTAAAGCGTAGTGTAGCGGGTTTGGGTTTTAATGTCAACCCGGGTACTAGATTTGATGACTACTCGGTGAATTCTTGTTATCTAGCAATGAAACTTTAGTGCAGGTCCAAATTAACAAACAAACAAAGCAAGTAAAACGGTTGTTTTCAAGTCGAGAGAGGTCACCCGGATATGGTTCCCCCTAGACTGCAGTTAAGGCGGATTGCAATTACCAAGTTCAATTTCTATGATAGTTATACTGCGGAAGGTTCTTAAGCAGTCTGAAGTCTCGACTAAAGGTCTCCAAACCCTCTCAATCTGAGTCTCTAGCGGGCGACTAACCTCCACCGGAGTAAACAGATTGAGGCCCTAACGAACAAAACCTCCTCTACCGAAGTGAATTCGGTACAGAATAGTGAGTTTGCTCCTCGACTAAAGTCACCAACTCCCTACCTTCAATCAAGGATGCTCTATCAACCTAGGCAGATATTCTCATTCTAGGTTAAAGCAGAAACAACATGAATTTGATCAGGATTCAAGCCATTCAATCATTCAAACCTCAATTGAATATAATCAAATCATAGAATCAGTACTTGGGTTCATACAATCAAACCTAACATACAAATCTAGGGTTTCCCATACCCAGATGAATGGGAGAACTACTCCATGGAGAAAGAAGCAAAAGCATATTCAGACGTGGAAATCATACTGTGAAGGATGGATTTCTGCTCCTGGTTGTCAATCGGCACTTCTCCAAGCTCAAGCCAAGCTCCAATGGTGATGAAGATCAAGCTAGGACACTTGGGAACTCTTGTTCGTCACTTTCTCTCTCTAGGAATCGCTCTGTCTCTCTAAAACTCGAATCCCCTTCTCTTTTGGCTGAAATCTCCCTAAAAGGGCATCACTGGGCAAAACATGGTCGAGGACACGGCCGTGTTCTGCTCCAGCCCGCCCGTGCCCTTGCCACGTGGTAAATACATGGCCAGCCTTTTGGGAAAACACGAGCGTGTTTGATGATGGACACGACCGTGTTCTGGGTCAGTCCCGCCCGTGTTTTGAGCTAGTGTTTGTCACTCTTGGATCAAGCCTCGGCAGTAAAAACACGGTCCAGGAACACGGCCATGCTTTGATTTAGGCGTGCCCGTGTTTTGGCTCCAGCTCGACTGAATGAGATCCGAATGCCCCAAAACTCGTGCTTAGCCTTTCCTTCGACGTCTGGGACCTGAAATATGACAAAGTAGCACAACCCGACGTAAAATAGGCCAAAAATACACGAATATGCCCCTCAAACGGATAAGAACTAGGGGTACAAATATGTGCAATTACATCGTTATCAAATTCCCCCACACTTAACCGTTTGCTTGTCCCCAAACAAACCAAGTCAGACACAAGGTAAGCTCAAGACGTTTCAATCAAGCATGCTTTAGGGCATATCATATCGGCACAAAACACATGGATCATACTGGTTTTCGATCATTAACACATGGACAACCTCAATGACAACCTAGACAGCCACCACATATGACATTCGAATTCAGTAAAGTCGAGCAAAGGAAGAGTCTCCCTTCTGTTCACCAACTAACATAGACTTGACTCAACCACGTATTCGAGACAGTCACTTCATGCACAAAGCTCAAGATATCAAAATTAAGACCGAGCAATCTAGGTCCTCACTGGGATAAAGAGTATAGAGAATATGAGAAAATGAATCGCGCACTCTCGACCAGTGGGGTCAGGACAATTTGATGCGAAAAATGCGCATGCTTATTCTCTCAATCCCTAACGTCTCTTCACCATGAATGCAGCCTCTAAATGCTAGAGTTCACATATGGAGTGTCACCACTAACTAATCCGGAGGTCTTAGACACAAGTTCAGATGACTGGCTAGGGTCTTGGACATGGGGAAAAGGCCTTTTAGGTGGTGGAAGTATTCATAGCACAAGGTTCCACATTTCCAAACCCAACAAACTCATAGTCAATCAAACCAATAACTTTCTTTCTGCTATTTTGCATTACTCAAATTCTTCAGAGCACAAGAGCGAAGGAGGTCACTTAAATGCTAGTATTTCTAAGCCAGACTGCTAAGAAACACTCCTTAATGGGCACTATTAAGATTTTTGGTGGTGGCTCTCTTTTGCTTTCATTTTTTGTCTTTATTTTTTTGTCTTTCATTCATTTTTTTTTTCATTTCTTAAGAGAACCACCAGCTCTGCACATTTTTCATTTCTTAATGACAACGTGAATGCTGCACATCATGGAAGAGGGAACTATCGCACAAGAAAGAAACGAGCAGGCTCAAGTCTCACATGGCTACCTATATGCTCTATCTCTCGTTCTGATTCCCTGAACTAGATGCATAAATGACTGTCAAAAGCAAGTGATCAATCCAAGTCACAGTTGGTAAGCAAACAGTTGAAAAACTGAACCCCTACACAGTTCTACTGCACATCTCAGTCATCATAATAAGTTGTCTAAGTCACACTCAAGTTGTCATGCATCAAGTCAAAAGCCATTCAATTCACTAATCACATCCACAGTGCCAATACGATCAAATCTCAAGATTTGGACAGCGGACTAGGCTCCAAGCACACATATACGTTCCAATTAATACAAAGAACCCCCCCCCCCAACACACACACACACTTAAATGCGACAATGTCCTCAATGGATCAGAGGGAAGGGGAACGATGTTACCGTGAAAGGAGAACAGGAACGGGGACTGGAAGGCAGACCATTCTAGAGAAGGGGTACCAATCCAAGGCACAGAGCTAAAGACAACAAAAGACACACACTGGGTGAAAGAACCGGAGTTCCAGGTCTACAATCCAAGATAAAAAAAACAAAACAAAACAAAACAACAAAAACATGGAGTCTCAGTCTGGAACACAAATGAGGTACAGAGCCAGCCACTCGCCACTAGAAAGCATCACCACCATCGCCGGTGGGTGGAGGGTACTCGTCCTCAAACCCCGGGGACTGCACAAACGGGTAGTGGACTGCATTCGGGTCCAAGCCCAGGTAGGACATGATGTAGTGCTGGCCTGACATGAGACGACGCCCTCGGTCCCGCTCACGATCGAGGCGGGTGTGAATGAGCTCCTGGCCGGCCAGGATGCGCTCGTTCTGCTGAGCGATGGCCGCCAACTGGTCAAAAATGGGCACCACCACTGGAAGAGGAGACCCGGGAGACGGACGTGGGAGCAAGAGACCGGGGAGCAGCAGAGGGGCTCGCAGGAGCCGGTCACGACGAACAGCACGACGGGGAACCCGGCGTCCCCCAGCTGCGCTCGACTCTGGCTGGTCGCCCGCTGAAGTGCATTGGCGAACTCCCAGTAACTGACGGAGTGCTCCACCCCGCCGAGTGTGAAACGAACCGCATCAGCATGGTCGGCGGAACCCTTCGAGGCATGGCTGAGGGAAGCGTAGAAATCCCAGACGAGCTCCTGGTAGGTCGGCTCGGCGAGGCAGAGAAGGCGCCGCCAACCATAGGGGCGAACCACGGCCTCCATATGCGGCCTGGCATGAAGCACCTCGAACACCTCAAAATCGAGGTGGTGCAGTTACGGATGGTCCGGAGCAGATGGCATTGGGTGATGCTCAACTGGTCGAGGTAGGCTTCCATGATCCTGCAAAGCACAAGGAAGTACAAATGGTACACAAGCGAACAGGGTCAATGTTAGGCCAAAACCACACCGGGAGCCCTCATATCGAAAGATATGGACAGTGGACTAGACTCCCGGCGACACAAGCATACCCATCACACGAGAATCACACAACAAAACACACCGGGGACCCTCAAATCGAGCGACTAGGACAGTAGACTAGGCCCCCGGTGAAACAAGCATACCAAAACCGTACTAAATAAGCACCAATCGAGCCACCACACACAAACCACACAAGCCCGCATACAATGCAACATGCAAATGGTAGGCCGAATGACTGAAATCCCGAGGCAAAAATAGAACAAGCAAAGAGCGTCATCGGTCTACCCAATCATCCCCAAATCATGCCACAATCACAAGTTCTTCACCTAACTCTAGGTATCGATTCTCCAGAAATAAAGGAAAAGACAATGAGAACACATCTGGAGACGCAAGTAGAGACCACGAGAGAGGTGAAGAAAGTGGAAGAAAACACCCTAAGTCGCCGGAAAACACACCGGAGACTCGCCGGAGAACTTGCCGCCGGCGACCCAAACTCGGCCAAACAAGCCCAAATCTCTAGGGATTGTGCTCCTCGACGCCAGGAGCGTGGCGGCGGTCGCGGTTTGTGATTTGGAGGTCGGGAGAGGGAGTTATGGCCGGAAAATCGAGGGAGAAGAGGAAAAGGCCGAGTTTCCGGCGAGAGAGGCGGGGAGGATTTTGAAAAAAATGAAATTGGTGGGAGGGGGGGGCTGAAAATCGACTTTTATAGGGGGGGAGGGCAAAACACGGGCGGGCTAGAACAAGGCCGTGTTCGGCGTGTTCCGCGCCCGTGTTTTTACTGCCGCGGCTGTATTTCCCCCCTTTGAAAACACGGGCGGGCTGGGACCAAAACACAGCCGTGTTTTGGAAGCCCAGCGCCCGTGTTTTTACTGCCGCGAGCAGTGCAGGCCAAAGATCAAAACACGGGCAGGCAGGAGGGAAAACACGGCCGTGTTTTCCTCCCCTGGCGCCCGTGCTTTTAGTGCCGAACCCAATCTGCCTTTTTTCAAAATTCCAATTTCAAACCACCAAGACTCATTCGTGCCCCGGCTCTAAAATTTACCCAATCAAACATTAAAAAGAACCGCCCGAGGCACGAAAGACTTTCCAGACAGACTCAAAGACTCAAAAACCAACAAAAAATGAAATAAATAAAAACAAAGGGTATAAATGCAAACCGTGGTGGGGTTGCCTCCCCACAAGCGCTTCTTTACCGTCTTTTAGCTGGACGCCCATGGCGGAACTAAGGGTCCGCGAAGTCCACTGCCAACTCCTTGAAGTTGAGGTTCTCGTCAATGAGGTGGAGTGTCAAGTCACGAGCATGTGGTATGACAGGTGATGGAAGCTCGTGCACTTGATGCATATGAAGTCTCCACCCTCGTGACCTCTTCTTCTCTTCTCTCGTCTCATTTCCCCAAACAAGATATGACAGCATCGATTGACCACCATCGCGTCCACCAAGAGGGGCCGATGTCGACGTGACCTTGGTATGGCAAAGAGACACTAGAAATGGATCCTTGCTAAGTAGTTCCTCGAAGTTTGGTGGAGATATCAAATGTAACTTATGGCCGGTGCAAGCCTCTTCCACCTCAACTTCGTCCTCAGCGTGGACGCCAACTACTTCTTCAACCTTCCTTCCTTGTTCATGTGGTATCACCCCTGGGAAATTATCAAGAACTCCTCCTGCTTCACTTTCGTCATCCTCCACAACTTCTTTCTGCACCCTTTCTTGCTCTTCTTCTTCTAGCACGGATTGGAGAGCAAGTTGCCAAGCAATTTCTTTCATGAGATCTTCTTGCATCTCCTCACTCATGCCCGCCTCTTCAAAGCTCAGTTTGGGATGTGGGAAGGTGTGGTCGGCTATGATATGACATTCCTGATCATGATCATCACGGGAGCTCTCCGTGACAACTTCACTGTGCTCCACTATGTCCTTGTAGCCTTCTTCTTCCTCCTCCTCTTCTTGTATGGTAGCAGAAGGGTGATCTGGAGTAGGTTGTGCGAAAGATCGCTCAAGATCATCGGCGCTCTTCTTAAGGCTCAGGAGGATCTCCTCTGTTTCACGATAGGCCTGGACACAATGATCCATCCTGGAGCATGATCTCTCACAATCTCGAGCAAACTGCTCCATGAGAAGCCTCAATTCATAGTTTGGATCTGGCTGTGGAGTGTAGCATGGCTCTGCAGAATGGCCCGTGAAGGTCGCCGTGGGTAACTCCAGCGCCGATGGCCCTTCTGGTTATGGGAGAAATTCTTCTTGATAATGAGGTTGTTCTTGATATGCCCAGGGGTCCGGTTGTTCTCCGTAGTAAGGGGGTTGGTACTGGAACCCGAATCCATAGTCTTCTCCTCCTTGATTGCTCCAGGGAGTCTCGGGGTAATACCACTCGGGTGGTGGTGGATACCCCCAATTGTTGGAGAAGCCATGAGGATCCATGATTCAGATCTGCCCAACAAAAACAAAAACACCCAAGTGAAAAGCAAGGGTGGAAAAGAAAAGAAAAGAAAAACGCTAAAGTAACAAACTTCTGCCTTTCCTAATACTTTAGAAAGTCCCCGGCAACGGCGCCAAAAACTTGACTCGCTACGACACAACACCTAACAATGGCCAAGTGTAACCAATGAAAGGGACTGCAGTATAGTGGCTCAAGTAATAAATATCGAATCAACGGGTCTCTAGAGTTACTATTACTCAGCTTCAGTTTATTATTTAGCAAACCAGATTAAGATGGAACAACTAAAACTACTCTAGCAAACTACAGTTAAAGTTAATCTAATTACAGGTTGGGAACTCACTTAGGTATGATTCCCCCTAGCCACTAGCCAGATTAACGATTGATGATTTCTAACTTGTTTCACTTTCATTCACAATGCCGAGAATCCTTGACTAGACCTTGAGTCTCGACTAAAGGAACAAGGCCCTCTCGAGTCAATTGCCTAGAGGGACGTATCCTTCTCTAGAACAACCGATCAAGGCGTTATGAACTAGATTCCCTCTATCGAATGAGGTTCTCAATCGATACAAAGCAATGAATCAACCCTCGACTAAAGCAATCGATCCACTATTATCAATCTATGGTGCTCTATTGACCTAATCAGGTATTCGCTCTCATAGGATCAAAGCAGAATCAATAATCTCGACTAAAGCAGAATTGAATCATGAAAACATGCATAGATTGAATATGAACTCAAGATTATCAAGTCAGAGTACTCATACAATCATCCAATCAAACAAACATAGCTAGGGTTCCTCAAAACCTAAGTGAAGGGAAGTTACTCCATAGAGAAGAGAGAGACTGCAGTAAGAATCTTCAGATGATCAGTCTTCAAGTCCGGGCTTGTTCCTCGAGCTTCCAAGGCAAAGAAATCCTCCAATTCCACTCTAAGAATGCCCTCAAATCGCCCTCTCTCTCTTTGGTT